CATTTCAGTATTATAGGACTAAATTAATTGGACTGAATTAATGGGGTGAAAATTGGACTAAAAATTCTTGAATTTGATTGAATTGAATGTCATTTCAGTATTATAGAACTGAATTATTTGAAGCATGAATTTTTTTTTATGTATTTTAAAATTCCTTACGATTTTATGATTTTACGATCCGAGTTTGTTTAGTAATTTCCGTGCCGTGTTAAAATCGCGATTTTAACAACCATGGTCATAACCGATAGTAACCCCATCTCTTTTTCTTCATTATCATCTTTTTCTTTCATCATAAAAAACAACAACCCAACAACTCCTCCCCATTTTTGCAATAAATCTAGATCCCTTCCTTGTAAATTCAAGCACCTCAATACTTAATAGTGTCAGCATTAATGTCTTCATTGATTTTTTTATATATAAATAGTAATTCTCTAAACCAAGTAAGCAAACCTATCCATTTATATTTTAGGTTAATTTATTGATATTTTATGTAATATTCGTAGTTTGCTTTTATATTCATATGTTTTATAGCTTTTTATAGATAATTTTGTTATATTCAAGTACGATTTGTACGTTAGGGTTTATTTGAGATTTTAAAAAAAAATATATTTGTTTATAATTTGATGAAATTATATTTGATATAGCGAGTTGTGAACTGTTTTGATAAAAACCGATGAATTCACCAACAGAATATATTTGTCGATGATTTTATCAATCAATCTATTAATTATATATGATATAAATATCGATAATTAGTTCATCGGTAATTCATCAATCATATTTACCGTGGATAGTTTGACAAAAAATAATCATCATCTAAATTTATCACAAACTATCTTATCTATCTACCTATAGGTATTTAAATCATCGACTAAGTTACCTATGAATTTCAAATTCCTATCAACATACTTATTGATGGCACGTTTACATATGTAAATCTATAAATGATTTTTGTAACGATGGAAATATAGCTTTTATATTAACAAAATATTTTATGATGGTGTTAAGAGATTACTTATTTTGTGTATTTTTTATGAAAAATGAGGTGTTAATTTTTTTTTATTTGAATGTATTAAAAAAATATTTTAATGTATATATAATAAAATATTTTCCATTAATAATAATAAGATAATAATTATTATATATAATATTTGTGATAAAAATAATAATGCTAATAATAAAAATAATGACTATGATACTAATAATTATTGTAATAGTAATTATGATAATAATGGTTTTGATGGCAGTAATCTCATGCATATTATCTTAAATGCTCGGTTTTCTGGTGTTCTCCACCGTCTGGTCATGAAAGAGAACCAACAAAGGCTGTCCTTCGCTAACTTTTAGTTTCCTCCGACGTCGTGATTCCCATGTCTTTCCTCTTGCTTTGAATTTTGGGTGAGAGATAGTACCGGCATCAAGGCGAATCTTGAGAAAACACTTTCTTTGATTAGAATTTTGGGGGAAAATGATTGTGGAATGTGAGTACAGTTTATGTGCAAATTCCCATATATATATATATATATATGACATATTTAAGGTTAAAATAAAAGTGAAGTTTACTTATTTTTTAGATTAAAATTTTATTGAAATTTTTAATCTTTAACATTAACTTTTTAATATAAAACATTAATATGATTTAAATAAATTTGGATGAATAAAAAATTAATTTTAAATAATTATTGGTTGACAAAACTCTTTAAAAAAACTCTATACCAAGTAAGAACAAAAACATAAAAAACTTTATTAGTATTTATAAAGTGAAAGGTTAAAAAGTCAAAATTAGATTTAAAAAACAATCAATCTTAGCTTTTAAAGAAAGAAATACTAAATAAAGTAAGTTTTGATTTTAAATCCACAAGCAAACATGTATGTTAGACTGACTTGGATATATAAATTTATTGTAAAATAATATTTTAAATAACAAAATATTATTTTTATTAATTAAAATTTGAAATTAAGTTTGGTCCATGAAAAATTATTTCTTTTAACTTATTATTTTATTGAGTTCAATCCATGAATGTCAACAGACTCTTTAAAAAGTATTTTCTAAAATTATAAATAATTTTTTTAACTAAAAATACCAAATTTATGGTCAAAATATCAAGTTTAATAAGAAGGTGGGTGAATGAAAAGTTTTCACTAGTTTTTTTTTTTTTTAAATTTTTACATGCTCTTTTTCTTTTTATTTTAGTGTTTTTTTATGCTTTTTTCCTTTATAAATCTAGAGTTTAGGTTTATTTTGTTGAGAAATAATTAAATTATTTAATTTTAATTTAAAAATCTTTTTAGAAATGCATTTAAATTAAGATAATATTATTAGAATCTTGATAGATTTATCATAAATATTCTAATTGTATCAAGTAAACAATAATAATAATGTTTTAAAGATAAATAATTAATTGTAAAGAAAAGTTTCATTACTTAAGAATATTTTAACAACGTTTTAACAAGTAAATATTATTTTTCATTTGAATTTAAATATAGATATATTATTATTATTATTATGATGCATGATAATGAGACTTCAATTTGATATATTACAAATATGAATATATTATTAATATGCCATCGTGATTTCCAAAACGGAGCATCAGCAGAACTGCTGAGAACACAAGAATGGATCTCGAGATTGTCGTTAAAATTGGTTGGATTGCTCGCCAACAATCTTACAATCATGCGCAGCTGTTATGGAAACAGGACTATAGCAATGGAATGACAAGAACTAATCCAACATACAGACAGCTTATCGTTATAAACAAAACCATTATCCACCTAGTTATAAGACCACCATGAACTTGCAATATTCCATCTGGAAATCTTCACATTTTAATTTTGACACGCGCACAAAAACAGAAAAAGTTGGGTAAAAAAAAATGAGCAATGATACTGCCTTCCCTCCTAATTTATTGCCTGATGAGGCTAGTCCAGACTGGTTTAACAAAGCTGACAATGCATGGCAACTAACAGCAGCAACACTCGTTGGTTTACAAAGTATTCCAGGGCTAATGATTCTATATGGTGGTGGAGTGAAGAAAAAATGGGCAGTAAATTCAGCGTTTATGGTACTCTATGCATTTGCTTGTGTGATGTTTTGTTGGGTTACATGGGGCTATCGAATGTCTTTTGGCTCTAAGATTTTACCATTTTGGGGAGAGGCTAATGTTGCTCTTGACCAAAAATTTCTTCTTGATCCAGCATTTCTTGGAAAGTTCCCCAGTGCAACAATGGTGTATTTCCAATCTGTTTTCGCAGCCATTACTTTGATTTTGATCGCCGGCGCAGTGTTAGGGCGGATGAATTTCTATGCCTGGATGATTTTTGTTCCTCTATGGCTAACGTTTTCGTATACTTTCACAGCTTTCAGTGTGTGGTATCCTCATGGTTTTCTCGCTAAGATGGGACTCATAGATTATTCTGGTGGCTACGTCATTCATTTGTCTTCAGGCGTAGCCGGTTACACAGCAGCATATTGGGTAAAACTCGCTCTAATTTCCCGTTTTCTATAAAACAAAATTGCATTAATTGAAGTTTGCTTAACTTCATTCAGTCATTAAATGAACCAATCACCTTGTTAATTACTGCATGCTGTACAATATTGTAGGTCGGTCCACGTCTAACGAAAGACAGAGAGAGATTTCCTCCAAACAACATCCTTCTTATGTTATTTGGGGCAGGATTGCTTTGGATGGGCTGGACAGGATTTAATGGAGGAGATCCTTATGTAGTAAGCAACGATGCTTCTTTGGCAGTCTTGAACACTCATTTATGTACTGCTACTAGCTTGCTTACTTGGGTCGCACTTGATATCATATTTTTCCGCAAAGCTTCTGTTATTGGTGCAGTTCAAGGCATGATCACTGGTTTAGTATGCATCACCCCAGCTGCTGGTAAGTCCAACACAAATAACTTGCAATAATTTTAGGTCCCAGATTCGATGCACATGCCCGCAATGCAGGCACTGTCAAAATACCTCAATCGCAATCGATGCTAGCATTTATCTTGCAATCGAACTAATACGTCTACTCAAATTCCTGACACGTATAACCTGCAAATTATTTTAGGGGTGGTGCAAGGATGGGCAGCAATAATAATGGGGTTATGCTCGGGCTCAATTCCTTGGATAACCATGATGGTTATCCACAAGAATTCAGAACTGCTTCAAAAGGTTGACGACACAATGGCGGTTCTGCATACACATGCCATTGCTGGTAGCCTTGGTGGTATCCTCACAGGCCTTTTCGCTGAGCCGAAGCTAAACAGGTTGTTCTATGGGTCCTCTGGACACTACATTGGCCTATTTTATGGCTTCCATGACAAAAGCAGAATTGGCTCCGGGGTTCGACAGATGGGAGTTCAGTTTACAGGAATCCTGTTTGTTGTCTTTGTTAATGTGTTGACTACTAGCATAATATGTATTTTGATACGACTGGTGGTGCCACTAAGAATGTCTAATGAGGATTTGGAGATTGGTGATGATGCTGCTCATGGTGAAGAAGCTTATGCCATCTGGGGCAATGGAGACAGACAGGAAAACTCTTTTTATCGAGGTTCGATTAATCCTAAAATTGAGCTGCCAGTGAACACAAATAGGGCTGCTCGTCGAGCTGAGAAGACATAGTCGTCTTCTTTTCTTCTCCGTTTTCAGTGGGCAATCTTCAGATCGATCATGTGTCTGTTTTGAAGGACGAATTGCATGGCCTGGTGGGAAAATAAAGGCCTTCATGTAATTTCTTTTGTACTAAGAAATACGATCCAATGGCATGAACTGTTGCATTGACTTTTATTAATAAAAAGAAGAATAAAATGTTGGCTTTTGAGGCTGTGTCCTTTCCAGATTTGTGAGCATGATTAAACCTTAATTTCAAAATTTGTTCGTAGTTAGGTCACCCACTAAATACACCGAGTTACACTACAGGTCAGATTAGAACTTAATTTAAGCTTAAGAAAAGCATGTTAGCAATGTTAAATTTTGAGTTGGCGATGAAAAATCTAAAATACGTATCAAAAGTTTGATCAGTGAATTCAATAAACAATGAATGTAAATACAAAAATATAATATTGCTATTTAACATATTTATTTAATTATCTGTAATTTATTTGATTTATGTGGGATGTTCAGGCTAGTTTGCGTGTACCATGACTAATCCCCATGACCCACCGAATATCTTGTAAATCCAGTAAGCATGTAAGGCACCGCGATGATGACAGACGTGCACCCCAGGGCTCGAACCCAGGTACAATGGAAAGAAACAAGTTTCTTTCACTACTAGATCAAGCACTGGAATGCATAAATATTTTTTTTTTGTAAGTTAAAGAACTTGCCAACACAATTCTTGTTCCTCCTTAATATTCATGCATAATACTTTAAATTTTAAAAGCAGTCCTTCAATTTTATTTTATATCGATATGTGTTTTTTTATTATAATTTTTTATTTAAAATAATTTATAAAATTAGATTTTTTATAGTTTTATTTTCTTTTTTCTTTTTTATAAATTAGATTTTATTCTCATTATTTTATTGATTTTTTAAAATTATTTTAAAAAAATTACGATTTCATCCTCATGTTTTTTTCCCTATCAAATTTGATTCTTATTTTTTTAATTCTTATTTTTTAAATTGATTTATTTTCTAGTTTCTTACTTCAGCGTTAATGAATTGATTGGAAATTGAGTTTCTTAATTAAACTCAAATTTAAAATTTTCATAAATTATGAGTTTAGAAAATTAATTCAGATTTAGAAGTCATTTAAATTTATTTTTTTTGTCTTCTTTTTAAACTCATGTTTTTTTAGCTTCATCTCTCAATATTTATTTTATTAGAGATTGAGCTCTATTATTTTTTATTTGTTTTCTATAGGATTTTTTACTAATTTTAAGAATAACTCAAGTTATCTTGGATCTATTTATTTGTTTTTTTTATTAAATTTAGTTTTTTTTATAGAAATTTTGTTTTAAAATTAAATTAAGTGATTAAATATAAACACAAGATGTTATTAAAAGCTAACTTTTTATGGTTAATTGTTGTTATTTTTCTGCTTTATTTGCTATTAATATTTTTTTAATTATATTATTAAATTAACCAAATTTATTGAATTTAATCAAGTCAATAATATAGTTTTCATATTTTTCTTGCTTTTAAAAAAAATTGGTGTGATCTAAACATTTTTTTTTATGTTAGGAAAAATTGAACTAGGCTCACAATACAGTGCAGGTCTCCTATTTAATATATTACAAAAATCAATCAAGAAATCTTGATTTTTATCATAAAAGGATTAATTGATTTTTCATGTATATTTATCATCAAAACTTAGATTTGTCAATCTAGACCTGTAACCAGCTCTTATACAAGACTTGATATGATTGTGTGGACATCCATTATGTAATGGGCCTAGGATTATCTTACTTCTGTTATGTTGGAGAGAAAGCATTGATTACAAGTTAGTTTTTTAAAGGGAAGAACTCGTTCGGAATATCAAATTTTAATTTTTTTTGTTTAATTTTTTTTATTTTTTGAATCGTTTTAATATGTCAATATTAAAAATAAATTTAAAAAAATAAAAAAATATTTTAATTTATTTCTAAACAAAAAAACACTTGAAAAAATAACTACTATTATACTTTTATATCCCTGAAATATGCCAAGAGTCCATGTCTGCTTAACATACCATGCAATAAACCAACATGCCAACATATCATTAGGGACAGAAAATAATTTGTCAAGAATTTTGTCCATGCTTTTGGTGGAAATTTATTCCCAGGGTCCCCCATAAGTTTGTCTTCTTGAGGAAGAGTTCAATAAGTTTGGAGATTAACGATTGATTGTCTTCTTTTTTATGTGCTATTAGCACCTTCAATTTTTCGGTTTAATGATGAGGTGGGGGATTATTTTTTTCTATCACCATGAATTGGCATTTTCCGGCCAGCTTCTGTGTATCGAGACAAATCTAGTTAATTTCCTGATCGACATTTAATAATTCAATTTAGAACAGATCATTCATCTTCGAACCATAAGATTTATTAAAAGTTACTCTCTTGACAAGGTAGGGAGCATGCTCGCATAAGAAGCCAAATCTCCAGGTTGGTGGCGGCCATGGTGGGGATAATTTGTCATCCGAAGATGACAGCAGATGTTGTTTTAACTTCTATGCCAGGTGAAAAGAGACAACGGTAAGGTTTTTGCAAGGTGATGGATACTGAAGCTACAAACTCTTTCAGCTGAAGGGTCCACTGCTGCTCTATGCCGTTGATGTTCTTCCAGACCAGAGAATGGAACCTTGGTGAGAGTCTCTCCAGCTCAAAGCCCTCAAATAAACGTTCTTCACTCAGAAAGAGATTTAAATTAAAAACTGCTTTTGAGGGGTATAGCCTAGGTTCCTGCATAGTCCTGTTATTGTCTTCTTCCATTGATCCTTTTTAGCTGAATAACGTCATTACGTCAGGTACTTGAGAAACAGAATATGATCTCAAATTTCTTCATGCATGCGAATGGCAAGCATGAAACTCAATATATCTGCTGCTTTTGACCCAGTAGAGCCGTTAAATCACCCCAAAAATGGTTGGCCAAAAACATTTGAAACAGATCCTGATAGTAATTCATGTTTAATGACATTAACACACCCTAAATCACCGATTACATTACAGCTGCATCTGGATTCCAGCATGGAAAGCCAAGCAGCATGAACAAAATGAGAAGAAATCCTGTAGGTTTTTCCCCACTTTACGAACATATCCTGTTCAGTTTTACTGCAGCTAATATATCGAGTCAACTTGCCTTGTATGAAGAACCTCTCAAGGAATAAGACTGCCATCATTATCTAAAAGACGGTGGATAAAACGTACTCTGCCAGTGATTTAAATAAATAAAAAATTGGGGGCACAGCATCCAGCCCTACAAATGAGAAGAATAATATAATATAGCCTACAAAGGAATATCAAGAAAAGAAGAATTGTAGAAGTTGTATTTTCCAGTAAACTACACTTTTCAAAGACAATCATGCTTTCCTTTTGATACAAGGGATCAGCACTGTGAGAGTTATTGCATGATGCGCAGGTGCCTAAATGGTTCGACCACAGATGAGGCAGTAGCGGCATTTTAATCAGAAGTCTGGTCCCGAAGTCTCTCATTGTTTGCACATTCTTCTTAGAAACCAAAAACCTCTATTGATGTAAAATGGGCAAAGCAGCACTGAGTTTGTTTTACCACAATAAATAAAACAGTAAAAAAACGAAGGGTCCACTGAATGATTCCATTTTCTTGTCTTCCACCACATGCACGTATGATGACATTACGAAATTGAAATGAAATTAGTTCTTGCTGATAAGAATGAAAACAGAACACAACTATTTCCTGTTGTTAAAAATGACAAGATAACATATATCATAATTAACAGTGCTGTCTAGAAGGCATAACTAGCAGTTAACATTCTACCAAAATGAAGTCCCGAGAGTGAGAATTCTGAGTTGTATTTAGTAGCTATTCTCAAAACTAGAACCCGGACCCTTGTGGTTGCAAGTCCAAGTCTTCCACCACTGAACCATTCAACAGCCACCGTTTGTTCCTTATAAACAACCTAATGCAATTCTTCACGAATAACTTAATACATCACTAATAAATAACCTCTTTTGCCAAAAACAAATCCAGAGTTTGAGGTGCCACAGCACTTTCATGCATAGCCAAAGTTGAAAAGAAAATGATGTACAAAATTGAGATAAAGTTGAAAGGATAGTTAAGTACAACATTAAGCAGCCTTCATGTAAAAGTTTTAAAGGTCGTTTTTGCTCAGACAATTAGGCAAGAATGAAATATCAGAAAGAAAAGTATTTGTGAAATTTGTTCTTCCAGAGCATGTGAATTTTTTTTTTTCTATAACCATTATCACTAGCATAGGTTAATGACTGCAGCTCTTACCTGAAAAGCCTTAAGAGGGAATAGCAGCGCCTTTTCTCTGCCATAGCTGCAGCATACCTCTTCTCAAGAGGATCAGAAACCTTCTGCTCTTCCTGAAGCCCAACTTCGACCTTTTGTAGCTTCTGCTATATGGATTTAGTGGTATTACCCCCATCAAATAATTAAAATGATTATCGTGAAAAAGAGGGAGCAGCAGTTTGAAGACAAATACATCCATAAACTTAAAGCAGGCCAAAACTGCCTCCGCCAAACTGCTAGTGTTTGGTGATATCAATAAACTGCTTTGAAGATTGTTCTCTCTTGAACAATGAATAGAACAGGCAGGCATATCAAAATACACCAATTTTTTTTATAGATCTTAGCCTTCTGTTCTGACTATGTCATTCATCCAGACCCTTCGATCCTCATAGGAAAGTTGTGAACTCTCAATTAAATTTACTGGAGTTCATCTATAAGAAAAGCTTTGAATTACCTGTTGGCTTCCCTTCACATTTCCTTCCATGGAATCAATCAGTCTTGTGCGACCATCGGTATTTGTAATGGCATCCTGAAACTGTAAATTTAACGTGCAAAGCAAGTTAACGTCATTAAAATTGATGGATCATGGACAGATTTGTGCATTTGAAGATATATATTATATGTATTCTCTCGCTAATCAAAAGTTTAACAACATAGCAAATAATCTAATCTGGGCTTTTGTTAATTGGACACCAGAAGTGAGGTAAAAGCATTTTAATGGAACTTACAAGCACCAGTCTATGTTACACAGCACATTAATAACATGATCATAAAATTGAAGAGTATCAAATTACAACAGGCTTTTGCTAAATCTCATAGGAATACCAATAATACTGCAGCCAAGCCCTAACAATTTATGTGAAGGAAATGCTCGAGTGATACATGATTAAAATAAAAAACTCCATTGCATTTCAGCATCATCTTATGAATACTATATATATATATATTGATTAAACCAGACAAGAAAAGTTCAGAATAAAAAAAATAAAATAAAAAAACAGAAGGAAAATGAATCAACATACTGGTTAAGTTCTGGTGTGGTGGCACTTCACCAAGCTTCCGCCTTACCAACATCACTGCCCTCAATCAAGTTGCTAATTCCTAAGACAAAAACACCACTTCACCATTTCTAAAGAATTGAACTTTTGACTGCAAAGTGCAAATCAATTCCAGTTCCTAAACAGAATAAACAAACTAAACAGTAACACAAAGAGCAACTTACATAAAGTATTTTATACCTTGTTTGCCGCATTCAGTTTTTCCAATGACTCTCAATAAACAATCTAGATCCTTCGATAAACTCTCACTTTCCATACCAGCAGCTATTTTCTTCTCCGATTCACAAATTCAGTTTCCAAGTCAGTTCGTTTCACATCATAATCAGATTGCAAAACAGATTCTTGCAATTCCAAATCCTATAAAAACAAAATAAAAACACAATAAGGAAATAACCTTTCTCAACATTCACCATTATCACCGGTAAAAGCATTTTAATGGAACTTACAAGCACCAGTCTATGTTACACAGCACATTAATAACATGATCATAAAATTGAAGAGTATCAAATTACAACAGGCTTTTGCTAAATCTCATAGGAATACCAATAATACTGCAGCCAAGCCCTAACAATTTATGTGAAGGAAATGCTCGTGTGATACATGATTAAAATAAAAAACTCCATTGCATTTCAGCATCATCTTATGAATACTATATATATATATATTGATTAAACCAGACAAGAAAAGGTCAAAAAAAAAAGAAGAAAAAAACAGAAGGAAAAGGAATCAACATACCGGATAAGTCCCGGTGGTGGTGGCACTTCACCAAGCTTCCGCCTTACCAACATCACTGCCCTCAATCAAGTTGCTAATTCCTAAGACAAAAACACCACTTCACCATTTCTAAAGAATTGAACTTTTGACTGCAAAGTGCAAATCAATTCCAGTTCCTAAACAGAATAAACAAACTAAACAGTAACACCAAGAGCAACTTACTTAAAGTATTTTATACCTTGTTTGCCGCATTCAGTTTTTCCATAGACTCTCAATAAACAATCTAGATCCTTCGATAAACTCTCACTTTCCATACCAGCAGCTATTTTCTTCTCCGATTCACAAATTCAGTTTCCAAGTCAGTTCGTTTCACATCATAATCAGATTGCAAAACAGATTCTTGCAATTCCAAATCCTATAAAAACAAAATAAAAACACAATAAGGAAAGAACCTTTCTCAACATTCACCATTATCACCGAGCGTTTCATTACCTTCAATGATCTCAGAAGAGTTTCCGCACCCATTATTAGTACCATCACCTTCATTGCGGGTTCATTCTCTAAATTGTTCTAGACATCAGCTTTTGCTTGATTCTAACAAAACCCACCAAATTTAACAGCTCAAAATTGAAAACTCACAACAGGAAAAAAAAAAGTCCAGTTAGATGAATACATGTTTGATAAATAAATTGCTAACCAGATTTTCCAAAGTGGTAGTCAGTGTTTCTACTGAACGTCTTGCATTTTGTAACTCCTCTTCAAATCCCGTGACTTTATCAGTATCATCAGCCTGTTATTGTTGCATTAGTACGAGAAAATCACTTATTCTTTTCGAGGTTTGTTTTGGTTACGAGAAGATCAAAGAGGGTACTGCCAACTGCCAGCCATGCCAATGTCAGATGATTATGGATAATTGAGAGTTGCTGGTCCTGGATTAATCGTACGTTTTGGTAAACACATCTGTAATAAAACTGATGAAGATATTTTCTTGAGTCAGGGTCCAGTACTCCAGTTAAGCAACAAGAAGTAGAGGACAAAGTTGATGAAATATAAAAGTACAGGGGCCAACTGTACGATTAATCCTCGGCCGTTGGTTGGAGGCCTGCTTTAACTCTTAATTATCTTCGACGGAGGCCCAAATATTATTGGACACTTGAAAGCCCACATCTAATCAGGATAAGGCTAAGGTAAAGGCCAGGTCTAAATATTTTATGGATTCCTGTGTTCCGCCCAATAGGCCCATTCATAAAATTAATTTTCAAGGACACCTTCCTCCCTCCCTACCTTTCGGTAGTATTAGAAAACATAGCTAACTTGTATTTTTAAAATTTTATTTTTTTTCATATTTTTTTAATATATTAATATTAAAAATAATTTTAAAAAACAATATTATTTAAATATATTCTTAAATAAAAAATACATAACTGTTATTATATTTGTCTGAATTACATCATAAATCAAGTCAAGTGTTTTCAAAAAGATTTATATTATTTATTTATTTATTTATTTATTTATTTCTTCAATGGCAAGGAGTTCTTCTCTAGCATGTCAATCAAGATTAGTTTCTTTTCTACATGATATAATCAATCTGATACATTTAACAAAATTTAATATAATCTCCAGGATATTAATTTTAAAGTTTGAACATAGTAAGTTAAGAAGCTAAGAAATAGAGTAATGTAATCATTGTTTTTACGGTTGCATCGTGAAAAAAATTTGAATTTGTTCTTTATTTTAAATTATTTTTTTATATATATTTTTAAATCGTTTTAATGTAATAATATTAAAAATTAATTTTAAAAAATAAAAAAATTATTATAATATATTTTTAAATAAGAAACATTCTAAAAATAACAACTACTGTAACATCAATACTCGTAACTTTTTAACCATTCATCCCAATTTCTTAACATTGTTATCTTTTATTAGTATGTAAACTAGTTGCATTGCTCACGTTTTCATGGAGGTCAGATTTAATATAAAATTTATTTATTTGTTCGATTAATTTGTTTAATTACATGGATTTGATTTGCTGGGTTTGTTAAATATTCGACTATATGCTATTTAATATTTGTATATAAACAAGCATGCTCTCCTCCTCCACTATAGAAATTAATTATGAGACAAATTTAAGAAATTAAGAACAATTACCGTGACTTGGATTATATATCATAATAAGCACACACTTAGGCGGAGCGCTTTTCCAGGTACCATTTTTTTTCCTTCAATTACGAGGGAAAGCTTGTGGAAAAAACAGAATTTGTTTTGATATACTGAAGTTCATCGATCAGTGATTGCTTTGACCATGCATGCATTAAAATAAGAATGAAATTTTAAAAAAAAACATGGATAATATCATAGTCAAATAACACTTAAACTTGCTAGCTAGACAAGGTAATGCATATCATGATTTTAATGCTTAGCTTATATGAAGCACATGAATTACACATCTCTGAGATTATTTGTGTAACTATTTGTAGTTATTATCATTATTGTCTTTAGTAGTGTGAAATAGAGTTATGTAAGTAGATTTCACTTGGATTATTGATATGTGCTATCTTATAGGTTAGAAAAAAAATTTTAACATACAAAATAAACATGTGGATATTGCTAATATTTTTTTAGTAAAATAAAAAAAATTAACCATGTAGAGATTAATTTGATATAACCCAATTGATTTGATGAATCCAAATAAAACTCAAATGATCAGTAAAAATATAGTTTGATTTATAAAAATTCAAGATAATATTTTTTAAAAGAATTATATTGAAACAACAACATATTAAATCAATCTAGGCCAACTCGAATTAATCTATCAAATTCAAAATGTTAATCATGAGATCATGATAACATTATATAAAACAAATCAAAATAAATTATGAAACTCAATTCCCAATTAACTCAATATTTAAAAATGAAATTGAAAAACAATAGTAACAAATAAAAATAGTAATTTAACCTGAGTTAACCTGTCAAACTCATCATCTGAGTCATGAGATCGATAAAGAAGAATAAAATGTTGGCTTTTGAGGCTGTGTCCTTTCCAGATTTGTGAGCATGATTAAACCTTAATTTCAAAATTTGTTCGTAGTTAGGTCACCCACTAAATACACCGAGTTACACTACAGGTCAGATTAGAACTTAATTTAAGCTTAAGAAAAGCATGTTAGCAATGTTAAATTTTGAGTTGGCGATGAAAAATCTAAAATACGTATCAAAAGTTTGATCAGTGTATTCAATAAACAATGAATGCAAATACAAAAATATAATATTGCTATTTAACATCTTTATTTAATTATCTGTAAATATATATTTTTTTGGAAGTTAAAGAACTTGCCAACCCAATTCTCATTTCTTCTTAATTTTCATGTTTAATCCTTTAAATTTTAAAAATAATTCCTTAATTTATTTATTTTAAATTAATTGATTAAATATAAACATGAGATGAGATGATATTAAAAGCTAACTTTTTATGGTTAATTGTTGCTATTTTTTTGCTTTATTTTCTATCAATATTTTTTAAAATTATATTATTAAATTAACCAAAATTATTAAATTTAATCAAGTCAATAATATGATTTTCATATTTTTATTGCTTTTTAAAAAAAGTTGGTGTGATCTAAACATTATTTTTTTTTTATGTTAGGAAAAATTGAACTGGGCTCACAATACAGTGCAGGCCTCCTATTTAATATATTACAAAAATCAATCAAGAAATCTTGATTTTTATCATAAAAGGATTAATTGATTTTTCATGTATATTTATCATCAAAACTTAGATTTGTCAATCTAGACCTGTAACCAGCTCTTATACAAGACTTGATATGATTGTGTGGACATCCATTATGTAATGGGCCTAGGATTATCTTACTTCTATTATGTTGGAGAGAAAGCATTGATCATAAGCTAGTTTTTTAAAGGGAAGAACTCGTTCAGAATATTAAAATTTAATTTTTTTGTTTAATTTTTTTTTTTATGTTTTTGGGTCATTTTAATATATTAATTTTAAAAATAAATTTTTTTAAAAAATTATTTAATTTATTTCAGAATAAAAAATACTTGAAAAAATAACTACTATTATATTTTTAAATATCCCTGAAATATCCATGTCCGCCTAACATACCATGCAATAAACCAGCATACCAGCATATCATTAGGGACAGAAAATAATTTGTCAAGACTTTTGTCCATGCTTTCGGTGGAAATTTATTCCTATGGTCCCCCATAAGTTTGGAGATTAACGACTGATTGTCTTCTTTTTTATGTGCTGTTAGCACCTTCAATTTTTTGGTTTAATGATGAGGTGGGGGATTATTTTTTTCTATCACCATGAATTGGCATTTTCCGGCCAGCTTCTGTGTATCGAGACAAATCTAGTTAATTTCCTGATCGACATTTAATAATTCAATTTAGAACAGATCATTCATCTTCGAACCATAAGATTTATTAAAAGTTACTCTCTTGACAAGGTAGGGAGCATGCTCGCATAAGAAGCCAAATCTCCAGGTTGGTGGCGGCCATGGTGGGGATAATTTGTCATCCGAAGATGACAGCAGATGTTGTTTTAACTTCTATGCCAGGTGAAAAGAGACAACGGTAAGGTTTTTGCAAGGTGATGGATACTGAAGCTACAAACTCTTTCAGCTGAAGGGTCCACTGCTGCTCTATGCCGTTGATGTTCTTCCAGACCAGAGAATGGAACCTTGGTGAGAGTCTCTCCAGCTCAAAGCCCTCAAATAAACGTTTTTCACTCAGAAAGAGGTTCAAATTAAAAAGTGCTTTTGAGGGGTATAGCCTAGGTTCCTGCATAGTCCTGTTATTGTCTTCTTCCATTGATCCTTTTTAGCTGAATAACGTCATTACGTCAGGTACTTGAGAAACAGAATATGATCTCAAATTTCTTCATGCATGCGAATGGCAAGCATGAAACTCAATATATCTGCTGCTTTTGACCCAGTAGAGCCGTTAAATCACCCCAAAAATGGTTGGCCAAAAACATTTGAAACAGATCCTGATAGTAATTCATGTTTAATGACATTAACACACCCTAAATCACCGATTACATTACAGCTGCATCTGGATTCCAGCATGGAAAGCTAAGCAGCATGAACAAAATGAGAAGAAATCCTGTAGGTTTTTCCCCACTTTACGAACATATCCTGTTCAGTTTTACTGCAGCTAATATATCGAGTCAACTTGCCTTGTATGAAGAACCTCTCAAGGAATAAGACTGCCATCATTATCTAAAAGACGGTGGATAAAACTTACTCTGCTAGTGATTTAAATAAATAAAAAATTGGGGGCACAGCATCCAGCCCTACAAATGAGAAGAATAATATAATATAGCCTACAAAGGAATATCAAGAAAAGAAGAATTGTAGAAGTTGTATTTTCCAGTAAACTACACTTTTCAAAGACAATCATGCTTTCCTTTTGATACAAGGGATCAGCACTGTGAGAGTTATTGCATGATGCGCAGGTGCTTAAATGATTCGACCACAGATGAGGCAGTAGCGGCATTTTAAGCAGAAGTCTGGTCCCGAAGTCTCTCATTGTTTGCACATTCTTCTTAGAAACCAAAAACCTCTATTGATGTAAAATGGGCAAAGCAGCACTGAGTTTGTTTTACCACAATAAATAAAACAGTAAAAAAACGAAGGGTCCAGTGAATGATTCCATTTTCTTGTCTTCCACCACATGCACGTATGATGACATTACGAAATTGAAATGAAATTAGTTCTTGCTGATAAGAATGAAAACAGAACACAACTATTTCCTGTTGTTAAAAATGACAAGATAACATATATCATAATTAACAGTGCTGTCTAGAAGGCATAACTAGCAGTTAACATTCTACCAAAATGAAGTCCCGAGAGTGAGAATTCTGAGTTGTATTTAGTAGCTATTCTCAAAACTAGAACCCGGACCCTTGTGGTTGCAAGTCCAAGTCTTCCATCACTGAACCATTCAAAAGCCACCGTTTGTTGCTTACAAA